ATACGCGGCTGGGCCTATTAACCGTGAGCTTAATAACCGGCGACTACTGTATATTATTTCGAGTGAATATTTTACGTCCAAAGTCAAAGTCGGCTTGCTGATGTCGTTTGCATGATCAGAAAGATACGGGGCGCATTTTATAGCCTCTTGTACCGAAGATGAACAAACAGTGCTACCTGTAGATAGGGCTGTTTAATCACCCCGGGGTCTACAAAATGCCACTATTGGTCACCAAGACGTGGTGATCGTGCTTTGCACTTCATGGAGTTCCAGAGGGCAATCGAGTGTCATGGCGGAGCAAATTAAGTGTTTACCGCGTTCGCCATTGCGTCTGATGAATACCGTCCATTTGCTGTCTACAAGTACTTGCTAGGACCATGGCCGTACTTCGATTAACTGACAACCCATATTTCCTACTTGAGTAACAAGTTGCGACATTGTACCTTAAATTGGGTACTCTTGTATGATAGCCACGTCAAAGAACTTGAAATGACTTCACAGCTGCAACGCGCACCTCCGCACATTCTACAGTAGGCCACAACACACCTATCACATATTGCCAATTGCCTTCGCAAGAACTCAGCGCCTCGTCGGTTAGGTAAATCAGTTATTCTGTCAGTTACTTCGCCCGATCCGGCTTTCTACATTCGGTCTTGATAAAAGGTTCAATTAGATGGGGGAGGCGGAAGCGTTGCGCAAGTCCGCTAACTCATACGCACTTCACCGCCTGAAGTCCATCACATTGGGGCAGAGGATGGGTACCGCTCGCAACGGCATAATTAAGGGGCGATAAAGTAGCCAGGGCTGGCCGAGAACTAAACCCCGTAAGTAAGTGATTCCTTAGTGTTAGCGGTCTGAGATGGCCAACCAGTCAAGACACAGAGTAAGACCCCCAAACCACTGTAAAGCGTGAACTACACAGGTTTCATCTTGTCAAATTGGCAATGCGGAGATCAACTCAAGCACTGAATCACAAACAGGCAGAGTACTTGTGGATTGCGTCTGAACAGCAGGAGTTAGCCATAGATTAAAAAAACAGGATGCGCGGCCTATTACTCAACCGTTGAAAAAGCCATGATGATCATGGGCACGTGCAACCGACGCGTCTAAAATTAGTTCTAAAAAGTTTTATCCGAAATGAAAGCACGCGAGCGCATGAAGAACACAAGATCCTTCCCATAGAACGCTATGAAAAATTCGGAAGACGGCCACAAAATAAAGTATGATGGACTGCAAAATAAACGACTTTTACTAAGTACAAGGTTAGGGCGACTGAGGAGACGCATAAAACCCAGATCGGTAAGAATTCACAATGTCAGAGGTGCGTAGGGTGGGACATCATTATGTCTAGGGAGCTATTGGTAGATTGAGGAGGGCGTGCTGACCATCAGGGAGGTAGCTAACGTTTCGGTTCTTGCTCAATTGGTAGGCAATGTCCTCAGAGGTCTCGATTCTGCGCAACTCAATAAGACCATCACCAGAGCTTCCAAAGGCTTTGGCCAATAGAGTAGCTGCCTCTGAATCACCCTCGGCGCTGATGACTGCAGCCAACTTTTGTTGTTCGGCCTGGAAAGAAGGGAGAAAAAAGTCAGGAAATTGGAAAGACCTTGAGCATCTGATTTGAGCTAGGTTCAGAAATAACCATAATTTGATTCAAACCGAATTATATGTAAACCATACGCGGCTAATATTCGACAGACTTGTATTGCTTACTTACACTGTGATCGCTGTAAACCTCACTAATCAAGCTGGATGGCATCGAGGTTCTGTCGGTTACAATGTCCAAGGGCAAACTGCGCAAACTGAACAGAGGTTACAGAGGATGTTAGCTGAAAATTTGTTCTGACGGCCAGATGGACTTTCCGTCCAACGAATAGTAGAATGGCGTAAAGTTCATCGGAAAACCATGGAGATTCGGATTAATGGTTGATTTATGGTTAGGAGCCGATAATATTTACGATTCCCCATAATTTCGTGCAGGGCCATCTGTGTCACCCTAATTTTAAATAAGATGAAAATATTCACGGTATGAGTTATTTTTAGCGTTCTGATATGCTTCCACCGCACTAAACGATACATATTTGAAACAGACATATCAGGTTGTTAGCAGGACTGGTGAGTACTGGTGAGTTTGTTACAGCCGAAAGGGGAGTAATGGCCTAGGGAAGTTAGCCTAGCTGCTGGCTACCTGGCGCGTCCACAGGTGGCGGATAGTGGCG